TAGGTTATATTTTACAATGATAATGATGTCTGTAAATAAGTATGCACTGTCATGCAGAAAGAAAAAGGGATTCAAGATTATTCTCAAGAAACGAGGGAATTTTGCAACAGTCTTAGTCATGTGGTTATATATTTACTGTACAATCTTTTTATAATTGAAAAGGGAGATACAACAAATAAAATAAATATCTAAAATTTCCAATTATTAAAATATATTTGTGGTAAAGTTTTGCATGTTTGCATGCATTTGAATAACTAATAATTTAAAGAATATACATAAAATAAACCATGAAAAACAACAAAGTATCAGCACAAGTCCTGAAAAAAAAAAAAAAATATATATATATATATATATATATATATATATATATATATATATATATATATATATATATATATATATATATATATATATATAATAGCCTTGATTGATTCAGTTTTTCATTTTTGTATTTCCTTTGTTAACTGTATGCAAATTATGCTGTCATTTTCCTGTGTTTTCATCATTTTTAATAATTATTTTAGTGCACTTTTTAAACCACATTAAAATGCTTTGGCATCTATAGCTGAAATAGCATACGTTTTAGGTTTATTTCATCTTTGATTCTATTGCAGCATTTATTTTATTGCAAGCAATGAAATTTAAAGCTTTTACTTTCAGTTTTAGCTACTGTAGTTATGTAAATGGTTGCCAATAAAAGAAAATACTGAATATAGTTTCTGTGTACGAACACGATGTTTATTTTAACGGCTCTCATATGTCAGTTGTCAGGTAAACCCCGCAATAAACAAACCTTCAGAAATGATTGACTCGTCACACAACATTAAAATACACAGGACACGCCAAACCCAAGTCAGAGATCAGTTTGAAAGAAAAGAAGAGAAAGCCAAAAAATAAATAGTTATATATAAACATACAGACACGACCCACAGTCTTTCCTCCCTCATCTTCCTCCAGTTTCTTACTAGAATAGTTTGAGACACTATTTTACTGTGACTCTGAGCTTTACTGATGTATACAGTTGCAGTGCATACAAAAATCACCCTTTTCAGCTACAGCAAAAGAATTTCTTTAATTATTTTTTAGATTTGTCTTTATACAGTATGTATGGGTCAAATTTATACAAAAAATCTAAATATTGGATGAAGTCTGGTTCAAAAATATAATTTGTAGGAGTCATACATTGTATATTGGCGATTGACCACAAGGTGTCAGTAGGAGACTATATAACTGTGGCTTCACTGCATGAAGTAAGAGAGTGTCGGTAGGAAGCACAGTTTTTGACCGTACTGTAGTAGCTCAACTTAACTCAACGTACAACTTAAGGTAACAGATAAGTGCATATAGATTAAGGAAAAGTGATGAAGTAATTCTGTTGATTGGAAAATGAAGTTTTTATTTGCATCGATTTTGCCTACGGACTTTGATTGTTAAAAACTTGCTCACTCTACCAACAATTGGAAAGCCACTACATCAATATTATTATTTACATATTGATGTCAAGGTTTTTTACAGAGAAGATTTTGGAATTTTTATCACTTCGTAATTCAGAATATATTGTGAATATCAAGTTTTAATAATACGAATATCAAGTTTTTTGCTTTTTTTTGGTAGAATAAAATGTATATAATTAGGCATAGTATGTATGAGCATCCTTCAGAATATATAAAGAGTATAAAAACCTTTAGAATACAGATATGTGAATAAAACTAAAGTTTGGTGCATAAGTGCTGCTGTAGTGGAGATTTATGGCTCATTGTAGGAAAAAAAACAATATACACTATATATAGAAATATGTACTATAATTGAAATCTACAGACAAAACTTAAAGTGCAACTCAAGAAACATGAAGTAAACTTTATTAAATAAATAAAATAAATTGACTCATTCTGAAAACGTACCGCTGTATACATTCCTGGAGAGCACCAAATACGTCCCAGGAGCTACGTGTTTTGCAGTTTTTGTTTTTGCAAATCCACCAGAGGCCACTTTGTACATTTTTTAAGATCTCAAATTTCTCCTGCTAATGCTGTTCGTGCCTGCTCTTCTAACGTAAATCCACCAGAGGCCGCTGTGTACGCCTTTTGAGCTCTTAAATTTCTCTCGCGAACACCATTCGTGTCTGCTCTTCTCCCGTAAATCCACCTGAGGCCGCTGTCGACTGACTGACTGACCGACTGATCATCTGACTCACCCTCCTACTTTCCTAAACCCAAACGATGTTTTAAATAGCACAGATTGACCCGCCCACCCACTTCCCTAAACCCAACCAACAGTGTTTTCAAAAGCAATTCAGAAAAAAAAAGCCCTCGTGGCAGCCTGATTTTTACCACGTTTTCAGATTTTACCAAATTCTCACCCTGCTATTTACTTGTTTATTTATTTTTTTTTGGCTTTTGTTTTTGTCTTACCCGCTTTCTGGAACCGTTCTTCGCCATACTCCTCTCTGCGTCTAAAGTCGACTGACATACTGGACGCACCACTGGACAAACTGGTAATAGCGTACTTCTGGCTACATACTGTAATTTGGGATCTCCAAAAATGTGTATAGGGGTACATTTTCAGAATGAGGCTGTGTTGAAAATTGGGAGGGGGCATCTTCATCTGTGACCCATTTACCACCACAGGAATGAAACACGTTTTGACATATAAGACAAATTTGTATAATATTTCAGATCGTTGCTGCTTTTACAGAATTTTACATTATTTTTGTAAATAAATGACACAAAATAAATACCATTTTTTAGTCAGTAAGATGTAGCTGGAAGGGCATCCGCTACATAAAACACATGCCAGAGTAATTGGTGGTTCATTCCGCTTTGGCGACCACTAATAACTCAGGAACTAAGCTGAAGAATAGTAAGTGAGCAGTCAGTAAGTAATACTGCAATATTTGCCACCGGCGCCAATTGTCCCAACACTTGCAGGTGTGGTAAACATTTTATTGTTGTCCTGACCTTCTTGGATTTTTTTTATGTAATGTTGAGGAATGAGAATAACACCACAATAAAAACTAGCACACTTGGCTTGAAATCAATTACAGGAAGGGTGAAAAAGGTCAAACCTAACACGGAAAAAACTTAAATAAACCAAGTAAAATATTAAAACAAGGTGTGCTAAGAACAACTATTGTAAATTCACATATGTGACCCTGGACCACAAGACAAGTCAAAAATACATTTTTTGAAAATTGAGATTAGTAGATGTTATCTGAATAAATAGGTTTTCCATTGATGTATAATGTGTTAGGATTGGACAATATGTGGTCAACTATTTGAATATCTAAAATCTCGATAAAAAAAAAATCAAAATACTGAGGAAAAAACGCCTTTTATATGAGCTGTATGTAATTTTTTGACTATTGTAATGCATAAAAATACCATAATACGTTAGCAGACAGGCAGCAGATGGTGGCGCAGTGGGTAGCAGGAACGCCTCACAGCAAGAAGGTCGCTAGTTCAGGTAGTTAGTTCAGCTAGGTCAGTTGCCATTTCTGTGTGGAGTTTGCATGTTCTCCCCGTGTTGGCGTGGGCTTCACCCCTCTAAATGAATACACTTGCATAAAGTAAATCGTATCTCAAAGCTTTTACTGTGGCTCTTTTATTTTTATATTTTATTTTATTTTATTTTATTTCTCCTCGTGCCGCCCCCCAGCAAGTCGCCGCCCTGGGCAATCACCCATATTGCCTATGTCTAAACCCGCCACAGGATGTTAGTGTGCTTTCACATCTGTGGTTCGATTAATTTGGTCTGGTTGCATTGTAGCATTTTTCTGCCAATTTTGGGTCCTTTTCACACCACACTGATTGCTTTAGTCTGAACAAAATCCACATCACTCATTGGCCAGATATTATTGAACGTGTTTCCTAAACTGTTTTTCGATTGGTCAGAATTGACTTGCGGGAAAATGCCAATGGAACTCCTGCAAGTAAACAAACTGGCAGACACAACATGTGGCTTTTTACTATGGAGGGTCGACTGCGCTGGCTGATTGTATCCCTGCTCATAGTATATTATATAGTTTGTATACATCATTTTAGACAAACGACACATTTAGAGAATGAAGCACGGCTGCGGCTGGAAAACAATGTTTTAATCTATTGCAAATGGCGAACGTGCATTGTAAGTCACTTCAGGATGATGCACAAATTAATTTTATGCTTTAATGCTTATCTTCCGGAAATATTATCAACGATCCATCAGGTAATGTTTGTCCCCCTCTCTCTCTCTGTTTAAAATTGTTGGTTAAGCGCTGACAGAGAAAAACAGCAAAAAATTTTCCTCCACACCCCATAAGATGAGACAGCGCATCGGACTTTGGCAGCTGGATTAGTCCAAAAGGCGCAGTACTTTTTGCAGTTGAGTACGTATGTTCTAATTTGGATCTGTTCTCAACACAAACAAACCACTTCAGGGTTCGTTTGAAAGCATACCGAGACCCTCTTGAAGAGTCTTTTTGGTCCGCTTTTGTTTTGCACTCGTGTGCGATTGCTACATTCAAACCCGCCCAAACGAACCACACCAAGAGGAAAAACGAACTCTAGTGAAATTCAACCGAAATAAATAAGGCAGGTGTGAAAACACCCTTAGTCTTGTTTCTAGATCTGCCACTATGCTGACACATAGGCATCTGTAGCTCCGCCCTCTTTTGAAAAGAGCACAATCTAATTTGAATTGAAGAAGATTTCTATTCTCTCAGTGTGAAGTATTTTCTAAGTGTAAAGCAGTTCATTTTCTCTTCTCAAAGAGTATGGAGTGTTTGCAGCAAACATGCCTGTGTGTGTTAAAAATACTGTGTAAAATGAGTATGCCTGCACAGGAGCAACACTAGGAGAAGGCAATGCTGAAGAATGATTGTGTAGAATAACTGAATATGTAAAGCACTGATTATATATGTTAAATACTTTCATGAAGCTATATGTGTCAGAAGTTAGAATGAGTAACATATTATCAAGTGATTATGCTATCATGACAATGTATGTAAACACTTAGTCCTTATGCATAAGTTGCATCTATGGAGAGAGAACTTTGGTTTCAAAACAGTTGCTGACATGACATAGACCTGTGACATCTCACTGACCATAGCAAGCTGGCAGAGAGCCAAGAATAGCAGGACCACTTAGAGTAAAAACTTATCCTAAAAAGGTCAAGAATTAAAACAAGACACCTAGGGGTGTGGAAAATAACCTGTATAAAGACTGGGGAAAACACAGATACTTTAGAAGGAGCAGGAGAGACTTTAGAAAGAGAACCAAAGAAAGGAAGTGACCAGAAGAGACTTCAGAATGCTTTGGGGTCTGCTCTGCTCTTTCTCGGCTTTATTATGGAGAATAAAGTCTATTTTCTGATATTCAAAACCTCCGGTCTGATCATTTCTAATTGATAAGAAGTCGAATTACGACAGAACTTAAAGCGACAGTCCCCAAAATGGCACAGTTAGAATCAAAGCCTAAACAAGGCTGTTTCAAACTGTTATAAACATTATTTGTGTAATATTTTGATCTAAAATTTCACATAGACACCCTAGGGTTATCAGAGACTCATTTTACATCTTGTAAAAAGGGTCATGATAGGTCCCCTTTAACATCCTAATTGTTTGGGCATTAAAAAAAATCTATAATTTTGATCCATACAATGTATTTTTGTATTCTGGTTTTGTGGCCCATGGTCAAAACAACAAAACAAGAACCAATCAGCTGACCTTCCCTCCTCTCAGAAGTCCATAGAGAGGGACCGCTGCTGCACAGGGTTTGTATGGTTACGTACCATCACGACACCACGTCCTCGGCCAAAAACTTCATTGTACCCGATCTCCTCCATGACCTGTCCCTCCAGGCTCAACTCGTCCTCCTCCAGCGCCTCTCTCAGACTCTGTGCGCTGTAGGCGTGTGTGTGCGGGTGGTGTGAGCGAGAGCTGCTGCGTCGGCCATGGAAGCTGCCCCAGCTGCGAGCCCCGACCGCCGTGCTCAGCTCCTCAGACAGAGGATTGGTTCTGGTCATCAGGATGGTGGTGCTGTTATGAGCGCCGCAGTGATGCTCACGGATGCAGCGGGACATGCTGGCGGAGCGGTGCAGTTTCTGCAGGCCCTCCAGCTCCTCCTCCAACAGCTCCTCTGGCATATCGGTGTCCTGCATGGAGAACATCTCGTACTCGGGAGGATCCATCACCTCCTGCATCTCCGTAGCACTGAACAAACCTTTACGGCACAAGATCTGACGGGGGACCATACACACAAGATTATATTTTTTACACATAGTTGCAACCCAGGCTCGTTCTGAAAATGTACCCCTATATACATTTCTGGAGAGTGTTAAATATGTCCCAGGAGCTACGCTTTTTGCAGTTTTAATTTTCGTGAATCCACAAGAGGCCGCTGTGTACACTTTTTGAGATCTCAAATTTTTCTCACGAATGCCATTCGACAGTTCTAAAAAGCAATCCAAAAAAAGAAAAGCCCTCGCGGCCATCTAATTTTTACCACAGTTTCAGATGTTACCAAATTCTCACTCTGTGTGTATTAAAAAAAAAGCTAATAATCCGATTCATTGCATTTTTATCCCAAACTTGTGCAATCCTTTAAAGGGCCATGAAACCCCCTCGTTTCAGCAGGGTGTTTTCACACCTCTACTTTGGAAAAAGTCAGAAAAGTGGGCGTGTCCAGCTCTGTTTAGGGGGGAGTGTCGAAGGAACTAAAGTGGGAGGGTGTGGGAGTGTCTATTTGGGCTCGCGCGAGTTTCAGAGTCAAAATAAACACACAGGAGAAAGTGATGGTGTTTAACCTACATGGACATCTGTAGTCGAATTATTTGCCAAATTATTAAATGTTGGACTTTAACTGCAGTTTGGCTCTTTCATTCAGGGAATTCATTCATGCCCCTCACGACACACAAGATATTTGATTCGAGGAACTGCTCTAAGCATGTATTTTTCATGCAATGTTTGATACCGCACGGCGAATGAGAGAAAAAAAAACCTCAGCATTTCACGGAAAACTTAGAAGCACACGGCAGCTAGTGTCAGAAAGCCGCGTGTGTTATTCCGGTCACAAAATGCGGTAAAAACCCTACACGAGGTTAAAGTTTGGTTGTGGTGCTAACATGTTTGTACTCGGTGCAATAGTTAACTTAGTTCGATACGAACAAACTGAATAAACAAAGAGCACTGGTCGCTCACTTACCAAATCTGTAGAGACAGGACAATCACCAGCAACTAGAGCCGCGTCCTTATTAAGAGAAGACTACAAGCGAATCCGGATCTCTGCGTTTGCAGATGAGAACAGCTCTCAGGTAAACAATAATCCTCCTTAGACACGTAAGTTATTGTTGTCGAGCGTCGCGTACACTGTTAATCCACACATGACTCCAGCTGAGCTCTCACAGAGAGAAAATAAAAAACAAAACTTAACTGCAGCAAACTATAAAAGCAACACTTCACGCTTGTTTTGCCAACACAACGTGGCGTCTCTGTCGTGTAAACAAGGTGAAAGTAATGAATATTAATGAAGTTGCACAATAGAGCGCGCTGATTGGTTTGAACCAAGCCTTACTCATGCATTAATGCATCACACTGTAAGACGTAATAAGACACACTCTGGTACAGACGTCCAGTCTGCACGCTGGAATACAACGCTATTATGTCATGGCCGTGACGCAGCTTCAAAAATTTGTTTCAAACCGGAAGCACGAATTTACTTGAAATAATGCAAAAACAACCAATTTACACTTTTTAGTGAAATATAGGTGTCCTAATAGTGTTTTTAGCAGTGCGGGACACATATACGACTGTCAACAGCTCAAAAATGTGTTTTGGTGTTTCGTGACCCTTTAAAACTGCAATAATAAATAAAGAATTAAATTTACCCTTGCCATTGTTCAGACAAACAGACCCACGGTCGCACCACTGGCTGAGTCAATATGTCTGTGTCAGGAAGCTCAAGTAAACAAATACATCAGTGTTGTTTTTTTAAAAAGAGCCACAGTGTTTAGTTTGTTCAGGAAAATCAACTTGCAGTGGTTTACGTATTTAAAAAGCTAAATAATATAAGTTGTTAATGTTTCTATAATGTTTACATGCATTTCTGACATATAGAAGTCTGCTTTTTTATTAATCAATACCTTTTTCCTGGGCTGCTTCATCTGTATAAATATAGATATGATGAGCAGAAGGCAGACCACACCAGTGGACACTCCAATCACTGTGCCATGAGTTTTACTCATCTGATGGAAAAAAGTTTTAGGCTTCTTTTCTGATAGAGACGAGGAAAACAAACACAAGAGAGAGCAGAAGATGAGAGAGCAACCCCAATGAGCACAATAATAATAAAACTCAATTATGAATCTTTATTACTGCTTTACATCGCCAGGGTTAACATGGCGTTTTCCTGGACTCCATAATAATCGTTTTTCCTGTGATGTCCAGTCCTTCATAGACTAATTAATTCAGAATATACACACATTATGTGCTTTATAGGTGTGTATCGGATCATGGTTAATCCGTAATTCGTACTGATTACAACCCACTGTTCCTGATACAACAAGTGGCCTGGGGATTAACGCAATTATTTTAATAGTAGATTATTTACATATTTATATTTACTCACAATGATACTTTCTTCTGTTGAACACAAAAGAAGATATTCTGAAGAATGCTGAAAACCTGTAACCATTGAATTCCATAGTAGGAAAGCAAACACTGTTGAATGGTTACAGGCTTCTTCAAAGTATCTTCTTTGTGTTCAACACAATAAAGAAACTCAAACAGGTTTGAAACATGTTAAATGATGACACATTTTTTTTTTTTTTTTGGATGAACTTTAAGGTCAAACCCATGAATCAGAGAATTTCTTTTTGAGATGCAGACAAAAACTGTTGCTTATGAAACTATCTATTAAAACTCTTAAGACAGCTTGTATGTCTAATGAGCGACAATGGCTGGAAAACAAACATTGTTTTTTTTTACCTCTGCAGTTGTTTTCATCCCAGGGAAACACACAGTTCTGAACACCATTACAGACCAGAGTGTTGTTGATGCACATGTTGCTGTGACAGAAATATGCATTGGGCGAACACGGAGCTGAAAAACACGTTAGAGATTTAAATGAAATAAAGAGCCAGACAGACATGCAGTGCACTTGAGTGTCCACATGGTGGATCTCTTACACTTCATATTTACAATCTGATACCACTGGTCAGATTGTCCCCGTGACATGCCAAAGCAAACCTACTATTGCATAATATTCTGATACTGTCACCATAAACCCAAAATTAGGCAATTACTTATTATTGTTTATCGAATATTGCAATATTTTCAGTACTGGGTTGTGGCTGGAAGAGCATCTGCTGCGTAAAACATAAGTCAGAATAGTAGAGTAACCCCTGGCAAATGAATGAATGATATATTCATTATAACTGATTTATCCATGCAAATTATTATTCACTTTTGTTGAAATCCATGTGTCCTTTTAAACTTTAATAAAAAATAATTCCCCCTCATCTTCAACACAAATTCTCTGAAAATGCTTTTACTTGTAAATTAAATGACCTTCACTATACACAAATGCATCACAATAATGTAGAAAACCTTTTGCAACTTATTGGTATAAGATATTCCTACAAAAAGGATTAAAGATAGACTGGGTCAAAAGTAATTTTGTGATATTCTCAATATAATATAACTAAAACATGCGCCAGAGTAGTCCGCTGTGGTGACCCCAGATCAGTGTTGCCAGATATAGCTGACTGATTCGAGCCTAAAAACTATCCAAAACCAAATCAAAAAGCACCGCCCAACAATCTGTAGACTATAATAACCTGTTGCGAGGCTTGGGGGGATCACAACTGTTTAAGTGTCTGTATGTAAAGAACTGGGGCTATAGCATCTTTTTGGGAGATCATAACAGGTTTATAAGTAAAAACCGGGGCTGACGGACACGCCGTTGCAAAACTGCCCAAATTTTCACTACCCGCCTATGTCATTTTTTACCCGCAAAAACAAATTCAAAACCGCCCAATCTGGCAACACTGCCCCTGATAAATCAGAGACTTAGCCGGAGGACAATGAGTAGATGATATAACTTTATTCATTGATTTATTTATTTATTTATTTATTTATTTATTTATTTATTTATTTATTTATCATAATTCAAAGAAAAAAGTACAATAAATGTTTTTTTTTTATTTAGGGCGCCATAAAAATATTTTCAGTTTATTTATTTATTTATTTATTTATCCTGTCTTTTTAATTTAATTGATGTGGATTTCTTATCCAAATAGGGTCTAATAAATTTAAAATGTTAAATAATTTATAGCAAAACATCACCTTTTTTAAAAGGTCAAAAACAGCACATATGTACTGTATAATTGAAAAAAAATATTTTGGTTGTATTATTAATAATAATATTTTTATATAATATTAATATTACTAATTATTTATATTAATATTGTTTATATTAATTCATTCATTTTCTTTTCGGCTTAGTCCCTTTATTAATCTGGGGTCAGCATATGTTTTACACAGCGGATACCCTTACAGCTGCAACCCATCACTGGGAAACACCCATACACACTCATTCACACACGTACACTACGGAGAATTTAGCTTACCCAATTCACCTATGCCACATGTCTTTTGACTTGTGGAGGAAACCAATACGAACACGAGGAGAACATGCAAACTCCACAAAGAAATGCCAACTAGCCTAGCCGAGGCTCAAACCAGTGACGCAACCTTTATTGCTGTGATGTAATCGTGCTTTCCAGTGCACCATGGTGCAGCTCTATTGTTCATATTAATATTACAAATTATATTATTATTATTAATAATAATATTAAAGAAGTACGTCATTTTAGTACACAAAACATATTTGTGTCATAACTTCTCTAAGCTAAACCTCAACCTAAACATTTCTGTTTCCATATGTATTTGACAACATAAATAGTGTGTATCACAAATGTACAAAAGTGTGCATTAAACTGAAAAGATAGTCCAGAATCACGTGTTTAACTTAGTGTAGTAAACAAAACTAAGCCCCCCATTCCCACAGAGACAATCAGACTTGTCAAAAATGTAGATGAATGCTTACGTTCGGTAAAGACTGTAAACAGCAAGCGGAAGCGGCTCAGTTTGCTGGTCTCATCAGCCCACATTCGCACCACGGCCACAGTGTTGTCAAGAGTGATGTCATTAGCAACAGTGCTGCAGAACTTGGCCTTCAGATCCTCAATGGCATTACTGCCTTCATAAACGGCAACAAAGTTTTTCTTACACTCGTTTGAGTTCTCCAACTGATAGTCTAGAAAGCGGAGATAGATCTGAATGAGAGACACAAACAGAGACATTAAATGGCACTGTATATGACATGCATAATCAGGAAAAAATATATTAAAATATACATATTTATATTAACATGTTAAACTATATAAACTAATGGCTCAGTCTTCCTACTAACAGCCGGCATCCCAAACAATTACTTATTTTTTCACCAAGAAAACCTCAAGAATTGTGTTGTTCATGAATAGATTTTTATATTAAACAATAATCATAATTAAGTAGATGGACAAGCAGCAAAAATCTCTTTTTTGAGTGTACTAAATGTAGATGTCTAACCAGACATTACTATATTCTGTCTCGCTACAATCCAACCCGCTCTGTAAGATCTCAAAACTCTGGGCTTCTGGTAGTACCTCGAATAGCAAAGTCGAGTAAAGGAGGTCGAGCCTTCTCATTTATGGCTCCTAAACTCTGGAATAGCCTTCCTGATGATGTCCAAGGCTCAGACACACTCTCGCAGTTCAAAACTAGATCAAAGGCCTATCTTTTTAGTAAAGCATACACTCAGTGCATCACTTAGCAGTATGATACATGAATTTGCCCCACGCAGGTTTTTTGCATCTCGCTTACATACACTATGAACAGCAGCTACGCTCATTATTCTATTTAATCTTTATTTCCACCTGGGGATACTCATCCCGAGGCCCTCAAACTACGCAGCGTCACTGATTCGATCCAAGACCAGCAACAAGAGGATCCCAAGGTTTCTATAATCCTGGACCAGGCCGTATCCTGAGCAGCTGCTGTGGTGGTCATGGAGGAGTGGAGAGCATGAGACTGATTCCTGTGATGCTCCAGGGACAGACTAGTCTTAGCTGAGGTCCAGCATTCTCCAGCCTCCTGCGCCCAGACTGCAGCTCTGCACAAGACATTTGGCCATAGGAGAAATGGTCGTGCCCAACTAAGCCTGGTTTCTCTCGAGGTTTTTTAATTCTTCACTTTCCACAATTAGTGAAGTTTTTTCCTCGCTGGTGTTGCCACTGGCTTGCATGGTTCGGTATCTGTAGAGCTGCGCATCGATGTATTTGCTCCACAGTGTTTGAACCACACTGAACTGAGCTAAACTGAACTGAACTTAAACACTGAAAACGGAACTGACACTGTTTCAGTTTACTATGATCTTCTATATCTTCTATCTACATTGTAAAAGCGCTATAGAAATAAAGGTGAATTCAACTGAATTGAATTTAACTGAATTACTAACCTTAGACATCGGTGGAGCTCTTATGGTCCAAATACAATCCACGGCTTCCCCTGCTTTCACCTTATTTTCCTCCTCAACCTGACTGGATCTGATTACACCATCTGCTCCAGACATTTCAAACTGGCAGTCTGTGGGAACAAGATAAAGGTAAAGACAATTCAATTAGTTCAGTTTAATTAGGTTTAAACATTAAATGATTGTAGCATTGTATTGCAAAGCGTTTGAGAAAGAGGCCCAGAGTCTGCAGACTGCAGCTGGGGAAACGTAATACTAATAAATTCTGGGTCACTGAAATATTCAGGAGTTTACATAACTGATGCACTAAAGAGGGAATTTACATTTATATTTGTTGGGCACGGTAACCATAGCAACTGAAAATGAGGGTACATAATGTGTTTTTCTGAAAGGTAGCAAACCTATAATAAAATCAAGGAAAAGCGGCAGATCATGCCAGGTTAGGCTTGGTTAGTTAGTTAGTAGAAATCAAACACAAAAATCCTAAGATAAATAGATTTATTATTAATAATTATTATTGTGGTGGCATGGTGGATCAGTGGTTAGCATTATCGCCTCACAGTAAGAAGGTCTGTGTGGAGTTTGCATGTTCTCCCCATGTTGCCGTGGGTTTCCCCCACAGTCCAAACACATGCGCTATAGGTGAACTGAATAAACTTAATTTTCCGTAGTGTATGTGTGTATATGAGTGTGTATGGATGTTTCCCAGTACTGGGTTGCAGCTGGAAGGGCATCCGCTATGTAAAACATATGCTGTATAAGTTGGCGGTTCATTCTGCTGTGGCAACCTCTGATGAATAAAAGGATTAAGCAAAAGGAAAATGAAAGAATTAATTATTATTGTTATTATGCTTAAGGAAGTTATTATTATTAGATTAAGACTTAACTATCAGCTTAGTTATGTCATTTTAAATGTAAAGATGATGACATTGTTTGAGATGTCTTTGTTATGACTACTTGACAGAAAAGTCTTTGTTGTGATATTTTGACATAACCAAGACAACATAACTTGTCATAAATCTGTTATAAACATGACTGTCATAAGGCCATTATAATTGTGTCTTGAATAATGTTCTGATCTTTGTTTTCAGTGAAACAAACATTCAAATTTCTTATTGAAAATGTCATTGCTCTGTCAAATAATTTTATAATAGCGTCATTAATATTTAATGACATTCAAATTAAATATTCCATTTGTACCACTAGTTCAGGTCAAGAAAAATATTAATACTGCCGTTCTAAAATTCATGTCACAATTATAATGTCATGACAGTCATGTTTATGACAGATTTATGACTAGTTATGATGATTGTAAACAGTCAGGTTGTCATGACAAAGACAGATACAGGTTATAAAGCAATTATTCAATTACTTATTAATAAATGCATTTATTAATAAATCCATAATAATTAATTATGCATCTATTAATTTCACGCTGTCATAACAAGGACATCTCAAACAATGTCATCTTTACATTTAAAATGACATAACTGAGCTAATGACGCTAATAAGCATGAATAAAATCTCATTCATTTTCATGATGTGTCATGTTATTATAAATGTTTCATGACAGTATTATGAACACCGCCTTCAAGTAAATTGTTAACTTTTATAAATTCATATGATAAATTATATTACATTATTTTGATTATGATTTTGTATACTAAAATGTACTTTTTTAAATAAAAAAATATTATTTATATTAAATTAACTTTCCCATCGGCTTAGTCTCTATTTCAGAGGTCCTCACTGGACCACCAAATATTCCATATGTTTTACACAGTGGATGACCCTCCAGCTGCAACCCAGTACCGGGAAACACCCATACACACTCATTCACACACACTTTTTGTCAACTGACCCAGCCGGGGCTCGACACAGCAACCTTCTTGCTATGTGGCGACAGTGCTAACCATTGAGCCACTGTGCTGTGCTCATAGTATCAATAATTGTATAATTGTTTGAATTCAATGGATCTTTACCTGGAATAGGATTCAGCAGTCCTCCAACATGGAGATGAAAATCAGGATCTGTAAAAAAAATCAAGAGCAAAATAACACAAAGGGAAGAATTGCATGATGTAATTGCAAGATATATTTATAGTACTTACCTGCAGTGTATGAATACTCCACCTTGAAACCCAGTTCTTCCAGCTCCTCATCGCTGGTAAACTTGATCCACAAGAAGCGTCCGGAGGAGGTGACAATTCCTGGACTCTTATCCCCGCAGAATCGATTAATCAGGGGAGAGAAAATGAACGGCCCATCGCGTATTTCAATGTTATCAAAGCGGCACTCAAAAGACGGTTCAATGTGGTAGATGTCATCGAAGACCAGCTGAATTCTCTTCCGCGGATGGGCTGATTTGAAACAAGAAACAGGTGTTAAAATATGATTACTGTAAGTATTGTGACTAGGACCCCCCCACACCCCCCCCCCCCCCTACCCCCCCCCACATGTAAAAGTTTAGGTTGGTTTTTAGCCACTTTATTATTATTACTCTCCTTTAGAGAGAAAGATGTGGAAAACTAAACTTTGCACTAACAACATTATTAAAGCATGGACCCATCTTGCCTCTATCAATAGGACAGGCTAGTGGTGGTGATGTAATGGTGTGGGATGTATTTACTACCCTACTTTGAGTCCTTGAAGAGCAATTGAACACTGTTTAAAAGCCAAAGTATTGTTGCTGAGCATGTCTATTATTTTATGCCCACAGTGGACCCTTTCATGATGTCTGCTTAATACAAAATGTCACAAAGCTCAAACTGCTTTCTTGAACATCATAATAGTGAAAAATATACTTCAATGGCTTCCACAGTAACCTTTAGTAACCAGTATAGATTTCAGCACATTGAGGACAAAGAGGAGTCCAACCTGGTACTACCAATGTACACTCACCGGCCACTTTATTAGGTACACCTTACTTGTACCGGGTTGGACACCCTTATTGCAGTCAGATCTGCCTTAAACCTTATTAGTGTAGATTCAACAAGGTAATGGAAATATTCTTCAGAGATTTTGCTCTATATTGACATGAAAGCTTCACGCAGTTGCTGCAGATTTGTCGGCTGCACATCCATGATGAGAATCTCCACCACATCCCAAAGGTGCTCTATTGGATTGAGTTCAGGTGACTGTGGAGGCCATTTGAGAATCATGAACTCATTGTCATGTGCAAGAAACCAGTCACATTATCCTACTGGAAGAAGCCAACAGAAGATGAGTACATTGTGGTCATAAAGGGACAGCAACAATACTCAGCTGTGGCGTTGATACGATGCTCAGTTGGTTCTAATGGGCCCAAAGTGTGCCTAGAAATGATCCCCCACACCATTACACCACCACCACCAGCCTGAACCGTTAATACAAGGCAGGATGGATCTATGCTTTCATGTTGTTGACGCTAAATTTTGACCCTACATCCGACTATCACAGCAGAAATTAATACTATGCAGACCAGGCAATGTTTTTCCAATCTTCTATTGTCCAAATTTGTTGAGCCTGCGCGAATTGTAGCCGGTTTCCTGTTCTTAGCTGACAGGAGTGGCACCCGGTGTGGTCTTCTGATACTGTAGCCCATCTGCCTCAAGGTTGGATGTGTTGTGCATTCAAAAATGCTCTTCTGCATAACTCAGTTGTAACGAGTGGTTATTTAAGTTACTGTTTCCTTTTTATCAGCTCAAACCAGTCTGGTCATTCTCCTCTGACCTCTGGCATCAAAAAGGCTGGATATTTTCTCTTTATCTGATCACTCTCTGTAAACCCCAGAGATGTTTCTGCGTGAAAATCGCAGTAGATCAGCAGTTTCTGAAATACTCAGACCAGCCCGTCTGGCACCAACAACCATGTCACGTTCAAAGTCACTTAAATCCCCTCTCTTCCCCATTCTAATGCTTGCTTTGAACTCCAGCAGATCGTCTTGACCATGTATACATGCCTAAATACACTGAGTTGCTGCCATGTGATTGGCTTATTAGAAATTTGTGTTAACAAGCAGTTGGACAGGTGTACCTAATAAAGTGGCCGGTGATTGTAGTGCATGTGATTATGTATGGGTTTTTTTTACAAACACAATGAACAGGACAAATATCTAGTGCTAAAGCAAGTGAGACTCATACCCTCGAGTATGTACACGCACTCCTTGTTTGGTGGGTATGTACTGGGGTAGTTTGGAGAACTGAATGTTCCTCCATTTTCTGTCTGGACCAAAGTTCCACAGTGAGCCGGTTTCTTATCCGCAACAGCCACATTCTGAGCCAAAGCTACTGGAAAAAACACACACACCAGATGATCTGCATTCAAGATAATTATTATTAAAGCAAAAACACTAGGAAAAACATACAGTATTTCGTATTAATTTTCTTTTTTTTACTTCGAGTCTTTCATACTCCACATATAATTTGTCTTTGCATGCATGTTCCTATTTTAAACCAACCTTGAGTTTTCTGTGCCAACGCAAAACCCTCCTCTATCAGGATAAGCAGAACCAAGGCTGCAAAATAAAAAACAAATAAAAGCAGGATATTTTTGTTACCTTGGTGGTCTTAGACCTACAGTGACGTATTCTACAAGTAAAAAAGACTGGAGAACACAAATGGAGCATAGAAAGTCCACAAAAAATCAAGGTTTTGATCACGATGATGACATTGTTTAAAAATCTGGGGTCAATACGAAGATTTAGGGCCCTATCATACACCCGGCGCAATGTGGCACAAGGCGCGACGCAATAGTCTTTTGGTAGTTTCAGCTTGGCGCTTTTTGAGGCGTTACGCTACGCTGTTTAAATACCAAATGCATTTGCGCTCATGTGTGTCAAAAATGCATTCTGACACGCCCTGAAAGCGTTTGCGCCCTGCGTTTTGCGCTCTGCGCATGGACCGTCAAAATAGAGCCCTTAATCTCTTTAAATCTTTTTAAGTGTATTTTGCCCACAAAGGCTGCATTGAATAATATTTCAGTAAAAAACAGTAATATTGTGAAATAGTATGAGAGTTCCAAATACTGTTCACTATTTTTTATATTTTTAATTTATTTATTTATATAATATTAATGCAGAGTTTTTAGCACACGATGGCTCAGTGGTTAGCACTGTTGCCTCACAGCAAGAAGGTCGCTGATTCGAGTCCCGGCTGGACCAGTTGACATTTCTGTGTGGAGTTTGTATGTTCTCCCCGTGTTGGCGTGGGTTTCTTCTGAGTGCTCCGGTTTCCCCCACAATTACGCTATAGGTGAATTAAATAGACTAAATTGGCCGTACTGTTTGAGTGTGAGAATGAGTGTGTTTCCCAGTACTGGGTTGCACCTGGAAGGGCATCTGCTGCGGAAAACATATGCTGGATAAGTTAGTGGTTCATTCCGCTGTGGCGACCCCTGATTAATAAAGCAACTATAAGTCGAAAAGAAAATAAATGAACGAATGTCTGTAGTGTATGAGAGTGTATGGGTGTTTCTCAGTACTGGGTTGCGGCTGGAATGGCATCCACTGTGTAAAACATTTGCTTAAATAGGTGGCGATTCATTACACTGTGGCGACCTCTGTAGAAGAGACTAAGCCGAAGGAACATTAATGAATAACTCTGATCTTGAGAATCATAATACTTCAGAACTTATTATACTATTTTGCTCAAGAAACTCTTCTTTTTAGTGTAAATAAAGTTTAAAACAGTGATTTTCATGTTTAAAACATACTTTAAACTTTAGGTTTATTTCACCTCAAATCTTAATTCTGTTATTATTCGTGCTTTCATATGGACAGTACAGCGGAAAAAGGAAGAAGACACCAGCCAAAGATTTGAACTCAGAGTCTCTTTGAAATTACAGGTTTTGAAATAAATTGTAGCAGATGTGTAGGGTTGTGTCTGGTGTCATTGCATGTGAATGTGACCTTCATGAGAGCTATTGTGTTGCACATTTATTATTATTATGGTTCGTTTGGTCCAGACCAACAAAGAATATTAGACATTTAATTCAGGTCCACTCAGCACATTTTTAACACTGAATTTAAAAACATAACTCCTGTCACACACAAAAATAAAATTACATTTCTGTCTGAATGCAAAAATGAAACGTTCCTTATTTTATTTATTTCATTACATTACATTATATTTTAATGCCATATCAGCAGCATTGGCTATATTCATGGCAAAAACATATACTAATAAATATACAATATATAATCATAAAATCTAATTAGTTTCTTAACAAATATACATTGTAAACAAACAACAAAACGTATACAAGTAGCAACAAAACACTGAAAAGAGTCATATATAATCTTTTAGTTTGATTAAAGATAAATATTCTAAAAGTGCTCCAGAAGACACCTTTTCAAACATTTCACTTTAAATATTTCCCGAATAAAAGCGTTACAGTGAATATGTATAGTAAATACTACAGTGTTTTTGAACCATATTATAATAAAACCCGCTATGGTAACACACCAACTATAGAAATACAGTAGCTTTCTACAACTATATATTATACTACAACACACTACAGTCTACTGTGGGAAAAACTAAAGTATGCTACACTATTTAATGCAAGTTATCAGTTTAGTATAGGTAATACTACAGTATATGCTGTACGTTAACAATCCTGATAAAAGTGTTGTAAATACTATGATATATACAGTGCAATAGCTACCATATGGTTAAAAAAATACTTTAGTAACGTATATATTGTAATTTACTATAGTATTTTTTATGTGGTCATTCTTAAAACTGATAGGCAGATTTGAACATACAAAAGCAGCATTTATCAGCAATAAAGCAAAGTAAATAACGTTACATGAACTCACCCTCATGCATTTCCACTTTCACTTGACACTTTTCTCGCGTGAGATTGTTTGCGGTCTACATTTTCAATGGCATGAACTGAAACCATCGAAATACGTCTCTGCTGCTGGTTTCATGAATAAAAAAGCATCTCTCTCGGTGAATAAATTCGATAACATCCATTTAAAAGCGCACAAAAGCAATGAACGACACCGTAGACGCCGAGACACTACTCAGCTCCGCGCGTCTGAGGAGATTTGGAGTTTTTTGACTGAGCGACAGTGAGGAGCGGGAAGCCTTGCCTCATGAAGATTAACTAATTCAATGACAGAAGCACAGTGTGCGTTACTGATTATATCCAATGGAGTAAGTATGAATCACTTCATCTGATGATTATTAATAAATTATGTCATTAATAATATTATGGGTATTCATCACGTCATTTGACAGCTGTGCCTGACGTATATAAAAATAATATTCATTTATTCATTATCGTTTTCCTTCGGCTTAGTTTCTGATTTTTCAGATGTCCCCACAAAAGAACCACCAATAAAAATATTAATAAAAAATTAAGCATCATTCATTGATTTTCTTCTCGGCTTAATCCCTTTATTAATCAGGGGAATATCACAGCAGAATAAACCACCAACATGTTTTATGCAGCAGATGCCCTTCTAGCCGCATCCCAACACTGGGAAACACCTGCACACTCACATACACTATACGGCCAATTTAACTTATTCAATTCACCTCTATCGCATGACTATGGGGGAAATCCGGAGGAATCCCACACGAACACGGGGAGAACATGCAAACTCCACACAGAAATGCCAACTGACCTAGAGCTCGAACCAGCAACCTTCTTTCTGTGAGACGATTGTGCTACCCACTGTGCCACTGTACTGCCCTAAACAGCATATATATATATATATATATATATATATATATATATATATATATATATATATATATATATATATATATATATATATATATATATATACTTTAATGCAGTTAAATAATGCACAAAACATGAAATTGCAGGTCATTACAATTGCCGGAACAGTTATTTTATCTTTATATATTTATATGTTGGAATGATAAACATGCAATTTAGCACTACAGTAGTTGCTTCAGCAATAATATTAATATTTAAATGAAAAAAGCGCCAGAAATAGGCTAATACGATTTTGCAATTGTATAAACTTGAATTAGTTGTGAGACTATGATATGATAACTACTACACATTTCTAAGCATAGTTTTAAAAACCTATTTCTAATAACTGATCTATTTTATCTTTGCCATAATAAAAGTAAATAATATTTTACTAGATATTTTTCAAGACACTTCTATACAGCTTAAAGTGACATTTAAAGGCTTAACTAGGTTAATCAAGTTAACTAGGCAGGTTAAGGGAATTAGGCAAGTGTTTGTATAACGATGGTTTGTTCTGTAGACTATCGAAAAAAATGGGCTAATAATTTTGTCCCAAAAATGGCTTTAAAAAAAATGTAAAACTGCTTTTATTCTTGCCGAAAAAAAACAAATAAGACTTTCTCCAGAAGAAAAAATATTATCGGACACACTGTTAAACTGTTATCAGACAGACTGTTAACCATTATTTAGGAAATATTTAAAAAAGGAAAAAAAATCAAAAGGGGGCTAATAATTCTGACTTACACGGTGTGTGCATGCATATGTGAGGACTATTGTGTTTGAGATTGTGTAGATCTATGCATATATGTGTGTACTTTTATCTGAGTTTATATTTGTTGTTTATTATGCAGTATTTGTCTGTACATTTTTTATGTGGTTTATTTTACATTGCTTGTTTGTGAAGCGCTTTAAGTTGCATTTATGTAGGAAAAGTGCTACAAATAAAATGTATTATTATTGTTATTATTATTACTAATCGTTCACATGTCCAAAACATTTAAAAGCTTTAAAATAACCAGTCCAAAATTACATTTTTTATTGAAAATACGTCATTTTGTGTGTGTTTTTTTTACCAAATCAGTGAAATGATTTGTGAATTTGGCAATTAAAGAGTTAAAATCCTGTCATTTTAAAAAACATTAGTAGTTTTGATTAGAAATGAGCTTCATTGACAGATTTCTGCAAAAAAATAAAAAATAAAAAAATTAATCTGATGCATTTTTACAGCAGTTTAATCTGGATGTTTTGATCCTGCACATGACAAAAGGGTAGCAATTTTGGACAGTGCACAAGGGTTAACTCTTCTTTGTAGCATTAAAAATGCGTTATTTGTAGTATATTTGACATTCCTCCATTACCTGACACACATACATCATTTTCAACCTTATAGATTAGTGGTGTCATATTAGAAAGCATCTATAATGCACAGCTCTCCAAGACCAGGACTGAGAAGCAAATGCAGCTCTAGGAAGATTACGAAGAAGCCTCCACATGACTTAAGCAGTAAGTCTTGCCAGTGGGATGTGTAATTTTGCGGATGGGGTCTGCACATCTGTTGAAAACGAGGGATTTGAGACTTAACACTGAGGGTCCCTGATAAGCAGTATGGGGACTGAACTGATGAGGCGCATTACAGAAGCTGATTACACAGGGATATATGAATTCTAATAATATCGGGCTTGATCTGATCACGTAATGCATCGACTGACAAGGTGCGTCACAGTGTGTGGTTTTAATCACCTTTACACTTGGCAAGAAGCAACACTATTGTGATGAAGCCCTGACCTCTGTGTACTGAACTTTGTAAGTTATCTCACATTGTTTGTGATAAAACATGGATTATGTCTTAAATCAGGCAGACTTTTGTGCTCGGAGTCACAATTCTGAAGTGGGAATTATCTTGGATTTCTAAGTGGCAAGTATTTGCTCACTTTTTTACTGAGAGATAACTTCTGAAGAAGAAGACTGAATTAAAAGTTGCTGAAATAATATTAATAAAAAAATTTTGTGAATGTAAATGAGGTGCAATTACATAATTAATATATAAGTACAGGATTATTCAATAGTATATATCTAAATTTATAAATTTTATATACACAAATGGATTTACACCACTTACCGGTCACTTTATTAGGTACACCTTACTATGAGGTTGGATCCACTGGAATTATTCCTCAGAGATTTTGGTCCATATTGAGATGATAGCATCACACGGTTACTGCAGATTTGTCCATGATGTGATTCTCCTGTTCCACCACATCCCAAATGTGCTCTATTGGATTGAGCTCTGGTGACTGTGGAGGCCATTTGAGTACAGTGAAAAATCCAGTCTGAGATGATTCACGCTTTATAATATGGCACGCTATCCTGCTGGAAGTAGCCATCAGAAGATAGGTACACTGGGGTCATAAAGGGATGGACATGGTTAGCAACAATATTCAGGTAGGCTGTGGCGTTGACACAATGCTTAATTGGTACTAATGGGCCCAACGTTTGCCAAGATAATCTCCCCTACACCATTACACTACCACTAGCAGCCTGAACCATTGATACAAGGCAGGATGAATCCATGCTTTCATGTTGTTGATGCCAAATTTTGACCCTACCATCCGAATGTTGCAGCAGAAATCGAGACTCATCAGACCAGGCCATGTTTTTCCAATCTTCTATTATCAAATTTTGGTGAGTCTGTGTGGACTGTAGCCTCAGTTTCCTGTTCTTAGCTGACAGGAGTGGCACCCGGTGTGGTCTTCTGCTGCTGTAGCCCATCTGCCTTAAGGCTGGATGTGTTGTGCGTTCAGAGATGCTCTTCTGCATACTTCAGTAGTAACGAGTGATTATTTGAATTACTGTTGACTTTCTATCAGCTCAAATTTTAATACTTTAATAGCAAACAGTCATTTATTTATTTTCCTTCGGTTTAGTCCCTTTTTTTATCAGGGGTCGCCACAGCGGAATGAAGCGGCATCTTATCCAGCATATGCTTAACACAGCAGATGCCCTTCCAACCACAACCCAGAACTGGGAAACACCCATACACTCTCACATTCACAAACTGTGGCCAATTTTTAGTTCATCCAGTTCACCTATATGTCCTTGGACTGTGGGGTAAACCGGAGCACCCAGAGAAAACCCATGCCAAAATGGCGAGAACATGCAAACTCCACACAGAAATGTCAACTGACATAACATATATATTGTTTAATAGCAAACCTGTGCAACAAAATCACTAAATTAACTGTTAAAACTAATTCAAGCTCAATTTAAAAGCTACATCAGTTTCCTTTTGGTTACTATATAAACAATCAGTTTCAATAAGTATATGATTAAATTACAATACAGATTGTAAAGTAATATTTTCTGTCTTTTAGTATATGAGAGACTTGCTTTGTTTACCAAAGAAGTAGATCTATTGAAACTTTAAATTAAATATTTCATATTTTAAGTTTTTTGTAACTCCCCAATATCATTCTACATAAAACCACAGTTTTTTTTTTTTTTTTTGCAAAATTCTGCATAGATATATAGCAACAAATGTCCACAGATTCTGTCTGGCCCTGGTTATAACATATGAATGTTATAGCATCAGAATTATTCATTCATTCACTCATTTTCTTGTTGGCTTGGTCCCTTTATTAATCCAGGGTCGCCACAGCGGAATGAACCACCAACTTATCCAGCAAGTTTTTACACAGCAGATGCCCAGCCGCAACCCATCTCTGGGAAACATCCACACACACACACACTCATACACTACGGACAATTTAGCCAACCCAATTCACCTGTACCGCATGTCTTTGGACTGTGGGGGAAACAGGGAGAGGCAGGGAGAACATGCAAACTTCACACAGAAACGCCAACTGAGCCGAGGTTCGAACCAGCGACCCAGCAACCTTCTTGCTGTGAGGCGAGAGCACTACCTACTGCGCCACTGCCTCATCAGAATTAATATTGTTTTAATTTAAATATTTTACACATGCGCAACAAATTAACAAAACTAATTGAAGCTCAAATTAAAATCGACAGTAGAATCCTACTGATTACAATATACACAATCAATTTCAATAAAGTTCTAAGCTACAAGTTTTAAAAGTAAACTTTGGCATTGCTAAAATAAAAGTTTATCAAAGCCTCATGAATTAAGCTGTATGTGTGCTCTGCTTAAATGATCACAGAAAAGTTCTTTTCCATTCACAGCCCAACAAGACTATGCCTGCTGACAACGAACAGAAAAAGAGCTTTCATAAATAAGTTAAGCTGCCAGTGAAGTATGATGGCACTATTTGCAATTCAGATGAGCTTCAAACTCTCTTTCATCTCTGGCGGAGGAGATGAGATTCTCACCTGAGAATAGAGATTCTGCCACGTTCATTTACAATGGCCTAGATAAAGC